GCATAATCTTCTGTGCATTAACCCCTCAGTGACTAGTCTCCTCATCCCCTGTCACCAGTTACTAATAATCCCCAGGCACCAGTCTCCAATGCATCAGCGTTAAACCTACAGGGATCTGTTCCCTGAGTATGGACACGTACAACCCCCTATTTGTATGATTGACATACCCCAAAATACCCCTGGTGGGATCACAGCTGACCATTGCATAGTATAGGCGGAGCCTGCCCTGTCCTTCCTGATATTTCCATGTCTCCCTTCATTACTTACTCCAAGAAACCTAGGGAATATGCTTCTTCACAGTGCCAGGGCAAAATTCTCTGACACCCGCCATCTTTGAGGAAATGTCAAAGTTGATATCTGAATGGTAAAAAAAATTAGGGGATAAAAACTAATTAGAGTTAAAGTGAAACATTAGTCTATTCTTAAAAATGTGCGAGAAGGCAGCTTTATTTTATTTCAGGAAAGACATATCATGTCAGCGTACAATTCCAGCATGTGTCAGGTGCTGGGACGAATCAACTCTTGCGCACATAAGTGGGACTAACGTCATCCCAGCCATGCCAATCAAGATTGCTGAAGATCCTGAACCCAGAAGAAGCTGGTGAGAAAATGTCAGCACTGGCAAGGCAGCTCGTAGATGTCATTCTGTCACTGTTTTGACCGTTGAAGAGGACCCCACGCAGCCCCAACTAGTCGCTATTCTGTGACATCATGTGAATGTGTGAACAAAGATGTATTGATTATCAATTTTGGAGTGCCGGTGACCTTTATTATTTCTTGCTATATACTGGACACCTCTGCTCTAAGTAACTGAGGTCATAGAGCACAAAGAAAATTTGAACTGATGTCACTGCTTTCAGGATGTGCTCTGCTACAAATCAATAAAAAAATGTTGTGTCAGATGTTTGTGCTGACAAGGTGAGGTGGTATAAGCAGTATAAAAGCAGGCGGTGAGCACCATAGATAAATGTGGAGTGGGAGCCAAGAGATGGATTGTACCATCCACAGCTGGCTGGGCAGAGAAAATTAGAGCAGAGCTCGGTGTGCAGAAGGTCAGCATTTGCAACAGGAACTGTGGCGTCAGCACTGTGGCTCTAAGGTGACATGAAAGTCTGTTGGAGCTGGTGTCACTCAGCATGCAGCCCCCTCTACTCCAGAACTGATTAGAGGTCTGGAGAACAGTGGGAGGAGTGCTGATTGGCCTCTTGTTGGGAACCAAAGGGATAGGCCCTGCACACTTTTTTGCTGTCTGAGTACCTGGAGGTGAGGTTTATTCCTCTTTTTTTGTACTGGTGACCATTGTCACTGAACAAGAAAGTGACGGGGAATCCAAATTTTTTTAAGCAGAAAGTTAACCCTTGTAGTAGGGCTATCCTCACACTGCAAGGGTTAATTGCTTGTTTTGGTCCAGAGGCTCCAATAAAAAAAACATACTGACCTGTGTGACGGTAATGAGGTTTGAGCTTATTAATATTAAGAATGAAATTCTCTTCTCCAGCTTAGAAAAAAATGCAGCTTTTCATTTAATTGAAGTTGCCCTCAGTTGCCAGGCACTACAAATTCCAGCACGGTATCTGCTAATCTGGGCCCGTAATCTTTATAGTTATTAAGTAAAGCACTAAAACCTGTTTATCTAGAGTTTCCCTTGGACCTGTCGTGAATGAGATTAGGTGATTCCTTTATGATCGGGATCATAAATTCCTAATACCAGGGTAATGGTTTTACCCAGCTCAGCTCAGTCCCCTAATAAATTATCAATCAACAGGTTTAGATAAACACACAGGAAATCAGAACTTTAATGACCCAGGTGACCTCAGAGACACATGTAGTCATAAAACTCAGTTACAATATCAACCTAATTTCATAACTTGGAATTGGACAGTGATATTATAAAATTAATTGCACACATAGCTCGTCAAGACAGAAACAGACATACCAGACATACCATAAAATGAAAAAGTTATGAGGGTTAGGGGCCTGGCAAGCTGCTTTAACTCTTCTGGTCTAACAATGCTTCATATTTACAGCAAGTTTGGTTTCAATGTAAAACTAATTTCATGACACACGATAATTTAAAGACTTATAAAGGCTTAGCCCTCCTGCTCCCCCTCCTAGGGGCCAGCTCCATGACGGCCCCTAGAGGGCTGACAAAAAGATGCTGCAGAGGCAGCTGGAGGAAGCTCTTGTTTTATTCCCTTCTATTTTACTGTTATATATATTGTGTATCTCTTTATCAATATATTTTTCTGCACCGTATATTCCTGTCTGAGGGGACAGCGGTATCATAGGCTTTGCTAAAGTGTTTTGAATTGTCACAGAACTTGCTGGGAGCTGTCTGTTTCCGTTAAAAAATACATGGTGGCAGCAAATGTTTGGTGTGTAAAACTGCAGAGTTAACCAACCTAAGTGATGATCACTCTAAAGGTGGCCATACACTTTACAACCCTCACAAGAGTCTTGTGAGGGTTGTAAAGTACTTAAAAAACATACAATCTGCCCCTCTTGGACAGGCAGATCGTACCTGCGATCATCGCAAGCCCGCCCCCTGAGGGGCGGGCTTCCGATGACTGCAATGCTGAACGGCAGTGTGCGCATGCGCACACCAGCCCATTCGGCAGTGATCTCTCGATCATGTTAAAAACCAGACCAAAATCGTACAATTCTCAGCTGGTTTTCCAACATGCTCGATATACAAAGTCATGCAACCGTACATTAGAAACGGTCGCTCGCCTTCCATACACTGCATGATTATCGTACGATCGCAGGATTTCCCACGATTCTCATACGAGAATCATGCAGTGTATGGGCACCTTCAGTCTGCTGGCCTGGGATGGTTATCCCAGGAGCTGGGAAATCACTGGGCAGGGTGAGGCTGAGAGTGGTATCTTGTGACGGCTCGCTCGGTTTAGAACTGTGTATAGTCAAGTGTGATTGATATACAGTGGGTTCAGGCCGGGTGACTACGTCACAACCTAATCCTTTACCCTGCCTGGCTGCGACACGAGTCTCCACAGCCTCTTCTCCTCTAGATGTGGTGATATCAAAGGGGCTTAGACCACCAATCAGTCCATCAACCTGCATTAGACATGATGTCGGGGGACATACCACAGCCAGATTGAAGGGGGGAGAGATGAGTGCTGCAGGATCAAGGATCACTGCAAGGTTTAACTTTTTAAATAACTGAAATACTTCTTTAAGGTTGTCCCCAGAACAAAAGGCTTCACTGGGGGTTATCTGATAAACATTTTGTAACGGTAACACATGGATTACTAAAATTGGGAAACAGTGTAGTATAAATGGAAAATAATAGGCCATTGGTTCAAAACGTTCAGCATGGCTGATAGACCCCCATTAAAGTGACATTAAAGGATTTTTGTTTTCCTCCCACAATGTTAGTGTCAGGACTTGCATTAAATGATGTCTCTGAATCCGATCTTTCCTGTAGTTTTCAGATGTCTCTCCAGCGCTGGTGCGGGTTTCTGATCCAGCGTTGACTCCTCTGTCCTCCTCTTCTCTCATGTTCCACGGTATCTGTGCGGGTGCACGCTGCTCCATAGACTTACCTTGTGTCTTTCCTCGTCTCCCGGCCAAACATCTGAACTGCGCATGCACCCGCCCCAAGATCCTTTGTGGCCGCCCGAGAAATTTTCAGATGTTTGGACGGGAGCGCGCAGGGAAGACACAGGTAAGTTTAAACCTGTTTCAAATGGTTTTTTTTTTTAAGTAGTGCCCCAATAATGCAGACTAAAATATTCCACCGCCACTATAGCAATCAATTACCAATAATGCGCTTCCTTACCTCTGTACTGTGGTCAGGTGACATAGAAGGGCTAATACTAGGGTTTTCTTATGTTCCAGGTTCAAAATAAGTTTAGACTTGTGTTTAGTGTTTTAGGCTTGCATTTTAGTGTTGTATGTTTTATGTTTTTGAGTGATGTATAATTTATTGTAATAATTTTGCTAGGGTCTTTTTTTAAATGGGAGATTAGTGTGGCCTAGTTTATTGCAAGGCATCAACACATTGTTAAGTACACCAAAACAACACATCCTCACTCCCCCAGTTGCCATATTTGCTATTAAAATTAGACAATGCCTGTATATATAGTGTCTGGGAGGTGTAAAGGGAGAGGCAGAGATTCTTCACGCACAGCTAGTAGTGGGCGAGCACGTTTTGCATCCGCAGGACAAAGTCACAGTCAGGACTTACCTTTGAGAGGCAGGTCATGTCTGCCTTTCTTTATGGAAGTGGGTGTACTATACTGCCAGTGCACTCAGAGGAAGTCATCTGGGATGAATTCATCCAGGGGCAACTGGCAAATAAGTGGAGGGAGCAACCATCCTATTCCACTGAATGACATTGCAGCATTTGAAGTGTGGTAAATCTATTAGTCATTTGGGGACCACATGATTATTCACCATAGGGCTTGCTGGAAGTGGCACATCATTCTTACTGGGTGGCAGCAAAAGGCCCGTATGAGTAGGGCAAAGTGTAGGCTTGAACCTCACCATAAGTTTCTAAAGTTTCTAAACCCCACCCTGTCATCTGCAACAGCATCCATGACCAAGAGTTCTAATGGAATAGAAA